ATGATTCTTTTAAGAAATGTGTTGAAATGCAATTATGGACTTGTGAGAATAAAACAACTCCCCGTTTAATCTAAAATTGTGGATCCTTACCTGCACTCTATTCCCTGTCCCGTTGGTTTATTTTATCGTATTACTTACCTACTAGGCTGTTTCTCCTGTTACGCATTTTTATAGCTTTTATAAAAATTTAAACTATCTTTGCAAGTATTGGTTATAGTTGTACTAAAAAGTGTGGAGTGTATCAGACCCAAATTGAACAAAAACGAGATATTTAGTCACCTCTCAACTTAGAATCATTTAAAACAATATTTGTGTCATTAACCCCCCCCCCCCCCTTCTCATTTCCCCAGCTGCATAAATCATATTCCCTCTTCACAATTTATCAAACAACTATAATCCATAGTAAAATTTTAAAAAATAAATCATTGAAATGAAAGAAAGTAAAAATATGTGAGCCTTGTAACAACTACTTAATGGATGCATAAACATGTACATTTTATAGCCAGCGTTTCAAAGCTAAAATAACCCCCCTGCATGTTGGTGGCAAATGTGCTTTAGCGGTTGCTCCCTAATTGTAGTGAATGAGATTTAAATTTTGTATTCTACAAATAATAAAACATATGAGCATGATATGCCGTATCCAATACTGACTAAACCTGCTCGAAGTTTCCCTGAAAAAAGGATAAACGCCTTTTATGACTGGTCATGGAAGTACTTGCAACTACATTCGAATCGTTAAACTGTTTTAATTAAAAATAACTGCCAAGGCTTATTAATTTAATCATCACCTATTAAGTGTTTTAAAGTACGACTAAATTTAGTTTTATATAACCTCATGCCATAAGGGCAGTTTAACCTATTTCAAACAAAAGGAAGTATACTTTATATCGCCATTACTTAACGTAATGAAACTCTTTTGCGTTGAAGGTAGGAAACGTTGATTAATAGCTAAGGACAATGTGCTATATCTATTGACTACACTACGAGATCGATCACTGCAGATTTTTAAGGGACATATATAAGAAAGAAGCCCTGGTGAAATACCTAGCTAAATGTTCGTTGCACCACGCTATGAAATTAAAATGCTAGCTCTCTTGTGTTAAATCCCGCTAAATAGACTATTCTAATAATAAGTTTAATCATTTTCTTTCTGATAAACGTTATTTTGGAAGTGTAAATATTCCGAATACTTTGACTTGCTTTCTGAAGTGCAACCATCGGCATTACATTGTACATTCGGCATACTTATTGTTCGTATCATTCAATTGTCACTAGGTAAACCATATATGTAAACAACATGTTATGCCCCGAAAATGAATGGAGATTTATAAGTTTCTTGACTTTATTGCAAAACAGCCGCAGTAAGTTATACAATTCGAGGTAATTGCGATACTAAGTGTTCTGAGTATTCAAAAAATATCTGTAAGGGAGTAGTTTTATCTCTGGGAAATTAAGGTATAATCGTGGACCATTGTGTATTACACACAATTATACATGTATTTGATAATAATTAAACAGAATGATAAAATTAGTCTCAAGGCTTAAATCCCCATTAGACACTGACATAGGTGCGCAATAAAATAAACACAATAAAATATCCGAGAAAACAAATTCTTGAGTACATTGCAACTCTTTGTTCATGGGTATGTGCGGTGGAAAAAAATGGTATACTTGATAAGGCATACTTCTGGACATATCTTGGATATCCCTTACCAGATTAGCTTAAAATTGAATGTCAGTGTACCTTAAATAAATGGATCAATATTGTTTTGACAACACATTATTAACTCCTTGGTTTTGACTTTTCTTATGTACTAGTAAATTCAATATTGCAATTTCATATCAACCTATTAAATCTTTAAATTATAATAATAATTGATTCATATATAATTTAAATGATTATTTGACAAGCTTTGTTTCCCCGTCTCGTCGAACACATTAGCAGACTATCCATTCAAAGATAGCCTGATAAGCAACATACGGAGCAAGTACTGGGTGCTGCTTATCCTAGTGAGACTCCTGACCAATCACTTTTATTAATCTGCCTATCACAGTGCTCTAATAGCTTAACTAAATATCAGAACTCAGTCCATCCGAAGGAGACCAGGAACCAATTTGAATTGAATCTGGATTAGGATCTATATCATTTGCCAATTCCACTTTTATATCTAGTTTTAGCACAACTGCAACATTTCCTACTTGTTTCTTTTTGCAAATCTTTAATTACTGTTCTAATGAATTACTGGGGAAGTGATAAGGTCATGCTTTGATGGAAAGGAATCTTGTGCCCATTGCAGCTGTTGACTCACTGATAAAGCTGTCTTAAAAAAAAATAAAATTAAAAATGTTGACCTGTTTTTGGTAATGTACCTGAAAATAAATAATCATGGTAACATACATCTGTAATCACTATCAATTACTTAAGGTTTTTTATGTACTTACTGCCTTTTGTACCAATATAATTTGCTCCTTGCTTGTGCCTGAACCCTGCAAATTTGCCTACCTATTCTAATGCATATGAAGAATACTTTTCCACAGCTTTGTTGCAGTTTGACTGCTCACTGTGAGACAAATGCTTGCAAAATTAATAAGAAATGTTTTCATCCTATTTCAATAAACTGTGATTTTGCTTTCATTAGTTGGATTTTTATGCAGAAATTGACCATGTGGACCAAATGAGCTCCCATATGTTGTGTAACATAATATACAAGTTAACTCCCATCCCATTATGTAATAGGAAAATCAGTTCATACAATATCATCCATAAAACCTTACACCTTTTTGTTTTCTTGGTAACATGTTCTATGTAAATGGCCAGCATAACATGAACAAAAAAAAAAACAAATTAAAAAAAAAAAAAATTAAAAAATAGGAAAAGATAACAAACAGCACTGTTCCAAACCTTTTCAAAAGACCAACAAACAAATGAAATGATACAAGTCTGCAAATAGAGCATAACACTTACACAATTTAATAAACCTCCTCTCAGTAAACACAGTACTTTGATTACTTCAAAAAGTGAAAGTGCACAAATTCTAGTGAATGCTTTCTCCGATTTAACGACGATTACATTTTGTAAAATGCGAATCAATATACCTCCTTCGAGCACGATAAATCTATGTAGAAAACAAACTAAAATCCTTCTATAGTAAGCCCGGCTTCTGAGAATATTCCGTGTTTTATGAAATTATGCCCCCCCCCCCCCCGGTTATAGCTATGATGAACACGAGAGTTTAACATTTCGCTCCTAAGAATAATAACTCAAGTTAAACAATCATTTGACCCCCAAACTGATCTTAATATATTCCTGTTACCTGTAAAGTCTCACAAATTACAATATCTCGTAAAATCAATTCAATTTACGAAAAAGTCCAATCAGGCCAAATCCAAAGTCAAACTTCGCCATCGATACGTCTAATTTGCTTTGAAAGTACAAACCTCAATAGTTATACTAAAAATCAAACTTATTTGATTTAAAAAATTTAAAACATTGCCACAATTTAACTCCCAAAAATTTTCCATGACCTTACCGTTTAATCGATTCTTCTAGAAAGGAGGTAGAAAAGAACTTATTATTAGACTATATACAAATGGACCTAAATTATCCGGAATGATAGCTTGTGACTAAGGGTGAAAATTTATATTTATCCGAATGTACGTAACTTATCCGGAATAAATAAATATTACTAGGGTTACTGAAATAAACTCACTTATCCGAGACCAGGCTCGTATAAGTGGTAATATATTAGGGATGTCAAATCGATCAATTTTTGATGATCGGTTACTCGGACAATTTTACGATCGAGTACCCGGGTACTCGATAAAAAATGTAAATACAAGTGTGTTAAATTTTTTTGAGGCCCACTTTCTCTGTTAAACCCCAAAGCTATTTTTATCACGTTTATAAATGTATATAAACATCGATTCCAACGGAAATGATTTTTTAGTGCTAAATTTATTTATCAAACACAAAAGACACAATTAATACATCAAAAAATACGAATGGTTTACAGTTCTTGTTTAGGATCTATTTCATTAAAAGGAGGACAATCTGTTACGCATGTTTCTGATGATTAGACTAGCGAAAGAGAAGGAATGGACGTTTTTGGGATCACTACATAAACTAATATGTTGATTGTTTCCCGCGTATATACTAAACTTACTACGCAAACTGACTTTCAACATTTTTTTAATCTTTAGTTATTTCTAAATATTTCTTCACTTTTGAAGTGGGTAGCGGCATTTCTATGCATGTCCGATTTCACTGCCGTATATTAACTAAATAATTTTAAAATAATTTGAAGATAATAGACCATCGATTTTCACTGAAAACAATCATTGAAGCCATCTAAAAATTAAGGACCACAATAGGTGAGACAGCTGGGTGATTGGTCACTAATTACTGTATATACAAATCCACAGGCGATAATGAGTGTTTTACAGGTGTAGATGACAATACGCAAATTATCGTATGCATATTTACGTTATTTTTTAATAAGTTTTTGATAAAAATATGTACAATGTACTTTGAAATAAGAAAAAATACACATCCGAGTAACCGAGTACCATTTTTAGTATTCGATACTCGGACGTTCGATCGAGTACCCGGTTAACCGGGTACTCGTTGACATCCCTAATATATATCTATATATTTATATACAGAAGATAAATTTTTTTGCCTCTGATTTAATGCTATTATTTTGCCAGTGATATATATATATATATATATATATATATATATATATATATATATATATATATATATATATATATATATATATAGAAGATAATTTTTTTTTTAAACCAAAACAAAAATAGTAAATGCACAAGTCTAATACTTTAGGTTGGGTCTTGAAGACCCAGAGAAAAAGCAAGAATACACTTGGCAATTTATATCTTAATGTACGACTATCTGACCTACCCAAGACCTTATATTTCTCTCTTAGCTTTTCTCAACTACATTACTTTTTTACGCAAAGCATGAAACCCAACACTTGAAATACATTTCAATGTCATGGAATAAGGACTAATTACTTTTAGGACTTAAATTCTACAGGAATTTCTTTCAAATATATTTAAAGTCAGTGGAGGTGAAGTTCTATGAAGTTTTGTACAATATATCACAGGCAGTTACTATTCATTCTCCATATACAGTGTACTATATAGAATTGTAAACTAACTTAACAATTTGTCTCAGGGTCCAGCATTATAAAGCCAATATATCTCTCCGGATGCGCACCAATGTCACTTTCCGAGTCTTTCTTTCGACAAACTGAACTTGAGACTTTTCTGTCGGACATTCACGGTAGCTTTAAACTTTTCTTTTGGCAAACACTCTAGCTTTATACTTTTTTTTGGACATTCACTTTATCTTAAGGCTTTTCTTTTGAAAATCACCGTAGCTTCAGAGTTTTTCTTTTGACAATAATGGTGCCTTTAACTTTGGTCTCCAGCAGTTGAGCAATTTTAGCACACATATACAAATCAGAGACACGTACAAGTAATGAGAGAGGACAGCAACAAAAGAAGTATGCGAGAATGCGCACAGGAACCACTATTGGGGTCACCCGTAGAAATTGACCCGGGCTCAGATGGCGTCCTGTAGATGGGTGGGGTCGTCTGCTTCGATGGCGATGGCGGGTTTGAAACCGAGGGAGTGCGAAATGGTCCGGGTTCTGTTGCAATGTCAATCATTAAGGTACATACATTTTTAGGTTCTTCTAACACTATGAACGAGTTAATAGGTGTATATTGGCCATTGATCAGTGAATCGAGACTGCCTTCGTTGCAGTCTTCAAGACTCAGCTGGATTATTCTCTGCTTGTGTCCCTTTCCCATAAATGCCCAACAATTGTAAGAACGATCAGCAAACGATGCCGTCACCACAAGAATGCTGCCATCTTTGGATTCTTCAGAAGACAAACACATATGTTCCTTGTTCACTGGTTCTGTTTTGTTAATATCCACCATAATGAATTTGCCACTTAAACCAGATTCATAGTATGCAATGCAATAATCCCTGGAATTAGAGTCCCGAAGATAGATATGACCAGATTTGAATCCAAAGTCACTGGGCAGTTGGCAACTGGTGGTTTTGATTTGGGCTCCATTTACCGCCACTGAAAACGGTTTTCTCAGCTGGTTATCTAGGCAAGTTGTATGAATCATTTTATCTAACGGAAACTGTGGCCATTCAACTCTAGTTCCAAATTTGTACTGTAGCGTCACTTTCGATGTCTTTTCGTATTCAAAACACGTCATTCTAGGAAAACAACCATTTTCGAAAATGTGTAGCAAAGCTAGCCGGTAAACCCTTTCCCTTGTTGAGTTGGCTCTTCCAACACACTTAAAGTTACCATCACCTGGCAATTGCAAGTTATATGTAGATATATCCATGACAATTGGTTTTGATTTCAGATCGGTGTGCCAAGCTCCTTTCAAACCCTCAGGAAAAGAACAGACGTTTGTTTCAGGTTGGCAGCCTCGACATGATTTGTGACAATATTTTTGATACTTGGAGCAAGCTGATTCTTGGGAGCAATAGTCAAACTCGTTTTCGCAGAGATTTAAAACTACCATCTTTTCGAATTCTAAATTCACCCTTTCTATCGTCTGCGAGTAGCTATCTCTGTCGTTGACCACACATTTACCATCACGGAAAATGGTGGCTCTTTTTAAATCAGACAAATTTCCTTCAAGTCTCATACACAATGGATACATGTACCTCTGGTCATCTGCTAAAACCACAAAAGTGTAATTATTTTCCGCTGATTTGTCGGTCCATGATGCCAAACATCTTAGTTTCTCTTTCAGTCCGTGGACGTCATCCAGGTTACACTCCCTTGTTCTAAAATCAAGTGTCACGCCGTCCCCATCCTCGCATTCGCTTTCCATTCGAGGAGGGATAACAGAAAATCCACATACTAATTCCATCTTGTAAGTGGTTTTTAAATTATAACCTCCAGAAAAAGGACATTTTATAGACGGGTTATCCTCTAAAGGAAACTTGATGATGGGACGATTTTTCAGTATCATGTTTTGCTCATTACAAATTGAAAGTGTAAATTCTGATGCGTTAGATTCTCTTATCTGAACAACAGAGTCCGATCTTTTAAGAAACTGAATACAAGAATATGATATCCGAACATTAACACCACCTTGTTTAGGAAGGTGAGCCACTAAGTAAATTCCTTTTTCACGGTTTATCATCTCATGACATCGTTTTTCAAAGCGTAGATCATTTTGCATTATGTCGATATAATCTCCATTGAAGTACATAGTTTCGGAGTCGTGACGATCCGTCCCACTGCGCCATAACCTTTCCCTTTCCAGAAATTCCGGAAACGTACAGTTTGATTTTCTACTTTGGATGCTCACAAGTAACGACGGAAGACAGAGAAGAACAAGAATAGAAAAGCACCGATCAACGAACTGCCTCATGTTTCAGTTATTCCGTCAGTATCTGAAAGTAAAATGACTTTAAGTTAAGGTAGTATGGTAGCAATGCCCAAGCAAGGGGGAGATAACTTTCTAAAATTCCCCAGCCTCGTTTTCATTCTGTCTCAGAAAAAGGCTTATAAAGTACGGGTTATTACGGTATTTTTCGACGTGTATTCAAACGTTTTGGTGATGCTGTGATGTCTTTTGAGATGCCCCCTAGGATTACCAACCTTCGATGGGTGAAGTATGGCGGGAAGGTATGTTTTACAACAAAGTTGAAATGTGAAATTACTTCTCAATTTCTTATAAAGGCGAGTAATACTTCAAAACTGATATATTTAGCTTTCTTGAGTATTCAACTACATACGTGTATTAGTTCTAGACACACAATTAACCGTTCTTATGTAGAGAAAACTCGAATTCCTGAGGCCTACGTCCACTTGTCAATATTCAAAATGGCTGCCACCACGGGGGTGAAAAATATGTAAACAAAGGCGTTTTCTGTCCAATTTCTTATGTTTCTTATGTTATGTGAGGGTAGTTCAAAGTAGTTATCATATTTTACATATATTGTATTTTAATATATCCTGCAATGGCTGCATGTCTGGTCAAAGGGAATTTGTACAGAAGTATAAAACGGAATGGAAACGCGAAAAGGGGTGATGTCAAAATTAAATGCAAACACTGGCAACACTTGGAATCAGTATCACTATAAGTTATTACAAGAACTGATTTGCTGTGTTATTTCAGCAATGAATTATTATTGATTGTATATGTAAAAAATTTGTAGGGTCTAAAAGTCTGTCATCTATGAAATTCATGCTGGGACTATTGTCTCATGTATTAAACAGATATAATTTACCAACATGTAACTGTTTCAGAAATCCGAGTCCAGACTAATTCAACAGTGATTCTGACAGTGATAAAACACTTTCTCCACCAGTTGACTCTCTCCCTCCTTGGATGAGATGTAAATAACAACTTTCAACAGTCTTAAAGTAAAAATATATCAGTAAACCTTTCATTTGGGGAATTTTTTTTTTTTGAATTTCAACTTATCCAACAGAGAGTACTTGATAAGGAAGCTAAATGTCTCTTAATTCATACAGATCTAGTGTTAATCAGTGCAGACTGCAATATAAAGATATCTTTGTATATGTAGCATCTGAACCATCTTCAACACAGCTACCACTGGCACCAGTAATCATAATAAGTAACAGTGATAGTGAGAGTGAGAATACCAGTACTCATAAAGCCAGTAAAGGTAAATAAGACGCATGATTTAAAAAAAAATGTACACATAAATATAAACTTTTAATGTTGAGGGAAACTTCAATTTTTTTATTTAGAGTGAATTTTTTTGTTTATTAATGACACATTTTAATAATATTTGCAGGTGCTTGTAAATCAGATAGTGAAGAGCTAGATTTTGGTTCACCATTGAAAACCCCACCAAAGCGTCCTCCCAGACCACCATCAAAGAAGAAAACGACACCATCTTACACAGATCTTGAGGTAAGTAACAATAGGATCATATTAGTCCAGTGACTGCTGTAGTTTTGATAAGTGTATACCTCATATATCTGTCTATCATGATATGTTAATTATTGATATAGAAATATTACTATTTATTATGTTTATGTACTATGTTTATTCTTCAACATCATATTTTGGACGTTGGCAGAGGGAAGTAGCAAGGCTGAAAATACAAGTAGAAAGTCTTAAAATTAAGACCAGTCAATTAGAACAGCAACTTCTTAAAAAAGATCGAGCAAATGAGGAACTGAAAAAGAGGGTGCTTGACCTTGAAACCACACTTCGGAGAAGATTCTGAATCGTTGAAAGTTTTTTATATATTACATGTATATAGTTTTTGTTAAAAGTTTATCAGACTAATATGGCAGGACTGGGAAAGTACTGTAAATGCCTCAATATCACAGAGGAGTCATTACAGGAAAATACTCCCAGAATTCATATGTCAAACTTAACAAAAGGACTAGCTATAGAACTTTTTTTGTTTGCAAAATCACAATTCGAAAAGCCAGTTGACAAGTGTACAGAATGGTTTGCAAATCTATTTAACTTGAATCCTGAAACTATCTCCAAGGAAACTTTAAAAACTAAACTTTATCAATTTGTTGCGAAGAAAAAGACATTGGGTGGGAAAGGTGCCAAGCTCTTTATGGATGAGCTATTTTTTATTCCCACTGCCACAACTGGAAAAGAAGTGGGGGGGGGGAAGGTTTACCAAAAGCTGTATCCAGTAAAATGGAAGAGAAAAAAAGCAAAAGAAACTATTGCAAACATTAAATATGAAAATATTCTTGTGAAGCGAAAACTAAAAAGGGCACAGGACAAAATAGATCACTTGAAAGAATCTAAAAAGGCAATTACAAAACAAAAGGATTCACATATCAAAGAAATTGAAAAATCATTACTGTCAAAAAGCACATTGTTACAATCAGATGTTTTAGAAGCAGAGAGAAAAAGAAAGAAACTGGAACAAGAAATAAGAGAACTGAAACAAAATGTCATAGAAAAGAATGAAATCATTGAAGGGCTTTCTTTAATAAAAGATGAAATGGAGACAGTTATTGTTGAAACAACACCTGTTTTACAAGAAACAAAAGAAAAAGCTCAAAATGTTCTTGACCAGATAAAAGATATAACTTCAGAAAATGAATACCTAAAACTCATGCTAGAAAACAATGCACCTTTAAATATCTATGATGATACTACAAATTCCTACTTATCAGAGTTATCTTATTGTGTAATGGATCTACTGAATTGCAACGTACCAGCAAGAAATGTATCACAAGTAATAAGTGTGGTTTCAAGACTGTGTGGCAGAGTCCCCAACAAGCTGCCAAGTAGACAAACTGTAGATAGGATTAATGATCAGAAAATCTTCTTCACTTCAGAACAGATGAAGGTCATTTCAGAAAGAGAAAACTTAACATTGTATTCAGATGAAACTTCAAAATTTGGCCAATCATTTGAAGTATTTGCTGTAACAGACTCTGACAGGAATAGCTACTTATTGGGGCTTCGTGAAATGCATAGTAAGAGTTCTGAAACAGTCCTGGACACACTCAAACAAATTCTAAGTGACATTGATGCATTATCAGATGGAACAAATACTGGGCAGCAGATTTTAAGAAATATCAAGAATACAATGTCTGACAGAGCCGCTACCGAAAAAAAGTTCCAACATCTTTTAGAGGATTACAGAAAGGAAATTCTGCCAAATATGAAAGAAGGTTGGGAAGTAATGAATGATGAAGAGAGGAAAGCATGTGGATCCATGAACAATTTTTTCTGCAGACTTCACATTTTAGTAAATTTCGCTGATGTGTGTGCAGAGGCTTAACTGAAATATGAGAATTCAATACTTGGAGATGATAGTCCCACCCAAGCTGATGACAATGAGGAAGAACCACAAAAGATAAAGCAGAATGAAAGTGGGACACTTAGACTTATAAGAACAACAAGTAAGGCTTTTGCCCGGGGTGTGGATGAGAAAAGTGGTGTATATGGGCCATTTAAGACATATATGGAAAACAAGAAACAGAGGGTTCAATTTGTGAAATTCAAGCACAATCGATTTAACATTCTGTTCCTCATGGGACAAATAACATATCATCATCGGAAAGACGTAGAAGACTTCCTTGAAAATATCCATGGGCCTACCAACAAGCTTCTTATGTCTGTACTGAAGGACATCAAAAGCCCGATATTAAAAGCGGGTTGTCGTGCACTTGGTATAATTTCATACTGTATTACAAGTCCACTTTGGCGCATCATCGAAGACAACTCGCATATATTGGAGATGACAGATGTGTACTCAAATTTGTTGGAGTTTCTTACAAAGGCCAAAAATGCTAGTACAGAAGTCATCACTGGAATATTTCTTCCATTTCCTGACATAAACGTAGTAGATACTGGTTTACTTAGGGAAGACGCAGAGACCGATACAATAACTGTGCAAATTTTACAATGGCTCTTCGAGGCGATGGCATACCTACTTGAGAGACAGGCAAAAGACCATTTACCTGGCGGAAAATTCTACACATCACCTGCCACAACATGGGAAGAAAGTCAAGGCACCATAAAGCACAACAAGCTTCCAGAATTCTTTTTTGGTCAGTTGGATTTCCTGTTGAGATTCAAACCAAATGCTACGACATTGTGCAATGAAGCATTTCTCATCTTTTCACACAACAAAACAAATAATTGGCGTGCTAACTTATCAGATATTGAAAGAGACACTTTATTAAAGGAAGCAAAAAAAGAGGGACCCAAAATTCGACAAAGATTTCAGGAGAGAATGAAAGAAATAGAAGCCAAAAGACTGATTGCTCTCAAGAAGAAAGAAAAGGAACTTCATGAAAAGAAGGATAGACTATATAAGCGGAAAGAAAAAATGACAAATGATATTCTTTTTTTCGGTTTGTGGCAGTCTTCAGAAGACATGATGCAACAGCTTGCAGAAATTGACAGGAAGTCAGAAAAAATGAAAGCAGTGAAGGCCCAGTTAACATTTAGGAAAAAAGTTTTGCAACAGAACACCAAAGACAAATCACTGTTCTCATTTTCAGCAAGGAATAAGGCAAAGACTCTGGAACAACTGATAGCCAATCTGAAAGTGTTAATACATGAAGCTAGGAAAGGATCAACTACAGAGAAGAAATCAAAGAAAAAGCCCTTACTTGTGAACAAGCACATAAAGCATAAGTTTGTTGATGCATGGTATTATGGACAGGTTCTGTCTGTTGTTCCTGGATTCACACACTGGTATAATGTAAAATATGATAGTGATGATGCCATCTATGTGTATAGACTACAGGAAGATTATGAACAAGGAGACCTTTTAATAGTCCCCCGGAAGACTGACAGGTTGAACTTCTCAAAAAAAAAAAAAAAAAGAATTCCAATTCAGATACAACTCTTTACACGTTCATCAATTACTTTGTGTGATTGCATGTCTTTAATTAATGTTGTTTTACCTTTCATGATAATAAAATTGTTTGAGGTTTGTTGATTGATTTCTTTTCATTTTCTTTCCTTGTTAAGTT